GCTGTTCTTTTTAACCACTTTGTTTTTTTTTAACTGACGAGTATGGAATATAATAAATACTCTGAAAAATGAAGAAAAGAGAGTTTTAAGTTTTGTGATTCATAATTACGCAAGTACTTATATTACTAGTATTATCAATGTCATTTTATTGATTATTTTTACCTGTTTTTCATTTGGAAAAATCTTTTCCATGTCACGAGCGAGCTTCAGAAACTTACTGGCCATCTATTCCAAAATAACTTTCCTTTACTCTGTCCTTTCTGACAATTTAAATATTGTTCGATAATATTCTGAAAATTGAAATAGATCCAGAAAACTTAAACTAATATTTAAATTTAAATTTTGTAACAATTTAATATGAATTTAAATAGATTTTCTTAATGTGATCACTACAAGTGTAAAAAATAAAATTATAAATTAAAAAAAGTTGAAACTAAAGATTTTTAAAGTTTAATATAAAAAAATTTTAAATTCCGTTGAGGAAAAAAATGTTAATATAAAGTCTTTTATTTGTTTTATTTAATACTTACATAATCGCTTTCAAGAAATTCTACCACGTCAATTATCTCGTTTGGTTCTTCAAAATTTTTTCTATTTGTAGTAGCAGCAGTATCTACGTTGACTATTTCATTTGTCAATTTTGTTTTCTGCAAATAACACAAAATACGGAATAAATGTTATAAAAATTGCAAACATAACACCAACAGTTTTAGTTTAATTTATTTATCAATATTTTATGATATTGAAAAATTTATTATTTATGATAAAAATTTTGAGGTTAGAAAATCTGTTCTCTGCCATTCTCATTTGCACTAAATCTATCTATATGTATAATAAATGTAAAAAATTCGTGGGAATGATGATGGAAATTTTAATACTGTCAGAGACTCAAGAATTGTAAAGAACACTTTCCAAAAATTATTTATATGTATACTATTTTATGTAATGGACGGAAATGTCTCAATAAAGGAATATATATACTAGGAGCGAAAAAATTTTTATTATGAATCGGAACAGTTATTACTATTTCCTTAAGATTTTTACTAGAAAAAGTAGTAATCCGTACCACTACAACGACGCGCCTTACACCGACGAGTGGAGGGAATGCCGACGCGTGTGCAGCACAAACGCCTGCGCGTTTGTCACTAAAAACGTTTATAAAAAGAACTATAAATTTTCGTTTTATTTTAATAAATTAAAATAAAATAAACAGTGCGTTCAGAAAAATTTTCTACAATTAATTAACATTCTATATGTGTATTATATTCATTAATTCAAAAGTTTAACTCTTTTAACATATTCATACTTATAATTTAACAACGAAACATATCGAAAAATCTTACATTTATACAGATTCGAACTCTGCCTAACTTATATCTAAACGCAACCTAACATCGCACGCGCTTTTACATTAAACCTCTCGGCCACGCAATCGCTATAAAAAAATTTTTGTTTACCTGCACATATCCTTCTTTAATAATGTCAATTATAAATTGTATTTATTTATTAGATAAGTTATTGAATTAAAATAGAAACATTTTTAATAATATTAATGAAATAATATTAATAGACAATAAATTAATAATATTAATAATTTAATTAATTAAATTAAAATTACTTATTTTGTTACTTATTCTGACTTTATATAAAATAAATAAGAATTATGTAAATTAATTTTATAATAATTTTATATAAAGCTTGAATTGCACATTGTAATATATAAAACTTTGAAGTACTAGCAAATAATAATTATAATTACTATATAATCTTAATGAGTATATTTTTTATATTTTTTAATTTATTTTAATATTATAGACATAATAATTATTACAATATTTATTTTTATTGATTAATAAATAATTAATTAGAAATTAAGTATTTATTCGTTATACATGAATTGTATACTTTGACGCCGGGGTACGAACGCTGCGCATGACCGTAGTGACGTCGTCACACACACAGGTGTACAGTAGTAGTGGTACGGATTATTATTTTTCGAGTAAAAAGTTTGATCTGCAATAGTAAAAGTTGTTTCTTGCAGAATCAATTTTTAGGGTTTTGTGGCCCATGGCCGAAAGCCTTATAGTTTCACTTTGGCGTCCGTCTGTCCGTAGTATATTTTGGGGCACCACAGCTCCCAAAATCAAATTTTAGGGCACAGATCCCAAATTAAAATTTTGGGGCACCACAGATCCCAAATTAAACTTTTGGGGCACCACAGATCCCAAATTCAAATTTTGGGGCACCATAGCTCCCAAATTCATATTTTGGGGCCCCACAGATCCCAAATCTCCATTTACTGAATGGACATTTTCCCGAATGGACATTACATGTCCCATTAGTTAACATGCCCCTATAATTGACATGTCCCAGTAGTTGACCTGTCTCAGTAATTGACATGTTTAATAGTTGACATGTCCCAATAGTTGACATGTCCATATAGTTGACATGTCCCTATAGTTGACATGTCCCATTAGTTGACATTAAAATTTAAAGCGCCACGAAACCCTAGATGTAGGCGCAATTGCGCCTAGTTCTTTTCCTATTTTTATATTTCGCACTTATTACATTTTCTACGACTAATATTTAAAAAGTGTCGAATTTAAAAAGTAATACAAAATTTAATAAAATTTACAATGGCGTTATAAAATTTAAAAATCTTAAAGCAATTTTTATTACATATGTAGCAATTTTTAAAAACACGACTGTAATAATTACTATTAGTAATTTTTACTACCAGAAATAGTAATATTTACTTAATGCTTAGTAAATTTTACAATTAATAGTAATTTTTACTAGAAAAGTATAATTATTACTATTCCATAGGAATTTTTATTAGAATCTCAGCACCATTTTTCTCCGTTTAAAGAAAAGAATAATAAAATTTGGGCACTTATAAAAAAATACCTACACCTTTTTTTATATAAAGATGGAAGAAAAATATATTTATAATTTCTTTAAAATTTGTCAATTCATGTAAGAATTAATGATATAGGAATTTATGTGGGATGTCATTTGTGGATTTCACTGTTTTATTTGTCCATCTAAGATACCAAGTCGGAAATTATATGAGAAATTATATGGGAAATACCAATATAGATGTAGATCATCATAGTTCCACTCTTACGCAGCCAGATGGTGATAATTTTTTTTCTCACAGTTGAGATCAGTCTTGAGTACTATAAAAGCTGAGACTCTAACTCAGAAGGTGTATTGCAAAGCACAATTTTTTTTCTTTTCAGATGAATTGCAGTAATATTATTTGATATTTAATTAAATAATTTTTAATTTTTATAAATTGCCGTCTTCCAACTGAAAATTCCTATATGAAATCCTATATTGTTTCCTTTATATAATTCTATGTGAAATCTTAGATATAGATATTTCAGAATCTACATGAAATCCTATATGATTTCTTATGTTCAAATCAATCATATATATGATCCCATGTGAGGATTTTTAATATGATTTTATGGCAGATTTTTGTAATAATTTTTTATTCAAGAATCGAAAAAAGATTTGATGTATGATTTGATATAGGAAAATTTCTGGTTAAGGATTGAGCAATGAATTTTAGTATGTTTTTTAATGAGAAAACACGAAGGAAATTGACATAAGAAATTGAAGGGAAAAATGGGACCAGAAAAAATTGTAGGATTTCACATAGGAATTTACATAATTTATTACTTAAGAATACGTTTATAAAAATTTTCATCGAATCCCACTTCAAATCATGTCTCAATTTCCTATATGATTTTTCATAAGATCCTGTATAGATTCTCACATGACACAGAGGATTTTATGTGGATTTTAATATATGAATTTATGTAAGATCGTATATAAGATCCTACATGAGAATTTTCAGTAGGGTAGTTTTCTAACCGGTTTCGAAACGTTAAAGATGTTTTTTGATATATCTTTCCTGTCCTAAAAATTTGCAAAATTTTGAAGATTTTATAATTTATTATTAATCGGGACAAAACATCAATGAAGATTAAAAAATATATTTACCGAATTTAAAATTTCATAGATAAATTTTATGAAGGTTTATAATGCCTTCATGCTTGTGCGTGGTGACACGCATTCAATTCCAGCGAAGTAGCATGCATTGTGCTTGCATTGAAATAGCCTTCACACGTGACTGCAAAGTGCAAACGAAATACATGCATTATGAGAGCGCTCGCACAAGAAAAGACGGAGCAGTGTGCAGGATGTGTTTTAAATGAGGTAGAAAAGGAAGGAGTGATATTTCTGTCCTTTTCTAATTCATTTGAATCATATCCTGCACACTGCTCCGTCTTTTCTTGTGCGAGCGCTCTGACCACCACTTCGTGCCCCGCACGTGTCGTGCGGAACGAACGTCGCATGATTGTTATCTGGGAATATTTTAATTAGTAAAATATTTAATTTAATGTATATAGTTTTGATTTTTTATTAGAAAATTAACTTTAACGGTTAGTAGTACCTTTTTCTTATGAATATTTCTTTTTTTATTTTGAATTCAATGTATACTATACTGCGCAAACTTTCAAAATTGACGTCGTTTGTACCGCGCGTTCATTTATATTTCTAACCTCAAAATCATTAATATTATCGTAGTGAGTATAGTAAATATAGTAAAATCACATAATTCTTTAATGAAATTTATTTACAAAATCATGTAATAAATTAATTTAACGAAATTAGCAAAACGCGATAAATTTTATTGACAGGGAACTCACCATTATTTTGCCACAGAAAATAATATGTTCCGCGTTTAGAAGTTTTTCCTCTTCAATAAAATTGCGACTTAAGGGTATCGAAATTGTGAAAGCACACATTTCGGATACAAAGAGCCGCATTTTTAGATTATTTTGCTTTAAACTTGTTAATTTCGGTTTGTTTTCGATATGTCTGTCATCAGCTCTCACAGAAACGACCCTCTCTCTCTGGCAATTTTGTTTTTATGACGTCATGACCACCCTTTCCTATAATATTCAATCGTCTTACTTATTTTTTAGGGAGAAATGGAGATAACGCCTGCTTGTTACTCTCATTTACTGTGGTCCTTGATGAGTTTGGCAAAAGGAAAAGTTGCTGTTATATTGGAGGTAAGTGAATGAAACATATATTATGTATAAATCGATACAACTAAACTTTTTAATTACTAAATATATTTTTTATATTTAATATTTTTATAAAACAATCATGTTTCATGATTATGTTACATTTTTAAATTTAAAAAAACCATTAAAAAATGTTTTGTGGTTCCTAAAATAAGTTAAAAAAGGTCCGAGCATGTTTTTCTACAACTCAGCCGTCAATCATCACTTTTCGCCGCCTCGCTGCTAGGTTGTAAAAAAACATGTTCGAACATTTTTTAACATATTTCAGGAACAGCAAAAATTTCTTAAATGCAGCTTGCCTTTGCCAGTCAAATACTGATTGTGGACAAAATAGTTCGATGAGATTAAATTTTCACTTATTAATTCCCTAAATAATAGCTACTACTTATGTATATTTTCACATTAGACGGCAGAGGTTTTTGTTAAGTATTTATTTAATTAACACAAAAAATATTATCTTCAACTTTACAGCAGTTCTTTTACTTATTTTGGTTAATTAACTTTTCTTATGATTTTTATTAATATTTATAGGGTGGTTATTGTTTGGAATCACTATCCGAAGGAGCTGCATTAACTTTACGAGCACTTTTGGGTGATCCATGCCCAAGACTTCTTCCAATTTTAGAACCATGTGACAGGTATGATATGAAAAATCATTGTATTAAATAATATTATCATATCTTTTACAAAAAAACTATAAATATATAAGGGAGGATAGGGCAAGAATAGTTAGGTAAGACGTTTTCGAATATAGCGACCAAACCTGAATTTGTATCTGCAAACGAGTAGTATTTTTGGAAAGCCTGGTTATTTGGCTATAATTTTGCTGTAGACTGCAATCCCTACGAGATACGAGTAAAAAAGTAAAAAAAAAATTTTAACTATCCTTGCCCCAGTACCGTGGCAAGGATAGTAGAAAGAATCCAAATGCTTAAAATGTCATAGAAAATCAGTAAATTTTCGTTTTCTTTATTTTATTGCGTTTAGACTATTCGATATTGATATATCAAGTATCAACAACATCCCAAGAAGCACGTAATATATCCTCAATATCAAGGTAATATTACACGTGAGATTCGTAATATAACGCTGTAATATTACAGTAATCTTACAGTGATCTTAAAATGTCCGCCTCAAGGTAATATTACCGGGAATATTACTGTAATATTAACGGTAATATTACAGTAATATTACAGTAATATTACAGACTGATTTGAGTTATTTATAAAGCATAAAAAACGTAAATATATTATAAGTCAATTTGGCTTGTTGGTAAAACTTTGGACTCGTGGGCTTTGAGTTCGGGGTTTGATTTCCTGGATGGGTAGATTTTTTTCGTAAAGAAATGTTCCCATAATATTACTGTAATATTCTCTTGTAATATTACCTTAATATTACGGTATAATATTACTGCAATATTACTGTAATATTACCTTAATATTAGCGCGTAATATTACAGTAACATTACCGGTAATATTACCTTGAGGCGGACATTTTAAGATCACTGTAAGATTACTGTAATATTACAACGTAATATTACGAATCTTACATGTAATATTACCTTGATGTTGAGGTTATATTACGTGCTTCTTGGGATGTTTAGAACATTTTCTAAATATCAATTGTTGCATTAAAATTCGTCTGAACTAGAATCTGATGTTTAACCAATTTTTTTTCAGATGATCACCAATTTCTTGGGCAATAAAATTCGTTTTCCCTATATAATTACGCACCATTATGTATATCTACCTAAAAAGAATAATTAAACATTTTTTTATAATTTGCAGTCGCATTAGCAGGATTTTATCGAACCGTAATAACTCTAACTATTCTTGCCCTATGAGCCCATATTTCAGTTTTTTCTAAATTTTAAGGAACGACGTGAATTAATTTGAAAATAAATACGATATTCGTGTTCACTAAGAAGTGAAGCACTAATATAGAAAACAATATGATAAACACTACGTTGACATTTTAGCAAAACAGACTTTTTACAAAAATAAACTCCTGACTTCGCAAATAATGGCAGATTGACATCCAATTTTTACTATCATCTATTGGTGTTAAGACGCAAATGCATCATGAATGACGCGAATTTTGAGCAAGCCATCTAAGCATAACAGCAACTAACTATCCTTGCCTTATCCTCCCCTATTAAAAACTAACTATAATCTACGAAGAATAACGAGCGCGTGAAGTTTTTCCTTATGCTTATCTGATTGATGGAATCTGGATAATGAAATACATAATAATAATTTTGAAATACCGATTTATAAATTTTTTTTTAATACGGCATAGTTTTCTTTCCAAATAAACTATAGACCTAGGTTGAAGCATGTTTCGATTATTAAACAAAAAAGAATATAATCGCCGGATCCCTGTTCAAAAAAATAAAATTTTGAACTTGAACAAATACGTAAATATACAGTTTTTATAAAAACAATGTGTAGTATACATGTGTTATTAATCAAAAAATATTCAAAATCTACAAGAAATTTTAGAGTGCAAGCAATTTTTATTTAAGTCCATTTCAGGCAACTAATTTGCAACTAATTTTTTTAATCGTTTAAAAGTCAAAGATGTTTCTGAGACCAGCTGGAATAAATAATAATAATGTCAAAATATTTTTAGAAATTTAAAATATTTTATTTAGTTAAAAGTGAATAGATATAATAAATTTTGCCTTTTTTAAGTTAAACAATTTCGAAAATAGTAAAATCAATAAAAAGAACTTATTGTTTGTTTCAGTATATGTAAAACCATTTTAAATGTGATATACACGCATAGATCTTATTGGAAATGCTATCAATTTCAAGGATCTTACAGTATTTGTTCAAAAATATTTGATGAAGAATGTGAAAAAAGATACTTACCAATATGTATATATAAGTAAGTTTAATTCCATTGTTGAGTCATTTATTATTAAGGATAATTGTAAATCATGAATCACTTTTCAGCAATTCTAATGTTGTTCAAACTACACATGAAACAAGGAACTGTTATCCTGCGCAAAGCATAGAAAAAAAAGCTGAGATTCGTGAAGCTTTATCAACTTTAAAACAATGTAAAGTATGATTTATTATTTGAAATATATTAACAATAGAACTAGAGGGGCTATGCCCCATCATCAGTATCACTGGAATATTCCCTCAATATCATAGGAATATTCCCTCAATATCACAGGAATATTCCGCTCAATATCACAGGGATATCTCCTCAATATTACATGAATTTCACGGGAATATTCCCTCAGTATCATACGAATACAGAAATATTCCGCTCAATATCACAGGGATATCCCCTCAATATTACATGAATTTCACGGGAATATTCTTTCAGCCGCCTACACCCTAAAATTTTGAGGTTATTTTTTATCTCTGACCTTGAATCCTGGAAACCTGAGACCTTGAATTTTGAGCTTATGTTCGTTTTAATACTAATTAAATAGTATGTCCAATATGTCATATCTGGGTGATTTTCCTCAAACTGTGATTTTTCAGGCTCTAATTTTTTTTAGTTTTGGAATAATCAATGTGTATTAACTTTATTTCACTTCTATTTCTTAGAAAAATAAGCAGTAAAAATAATTCTACACGAAACTTAAAATTCACAAAGATATTGTAGACATAGTAAAATAGTCCTACCACGGTAGTGATCTAAAACCCACGGTAGTAATACTACAATGTTTAGAGAAACATCGCGTATAAAATTTGCAATTTATGCACGGAAGAAAAGTGCTGCTAATAACGCACCAGCATTTATCGTCCGTTAATTACATCATATGAGACGTGCTTTTATTGGACAAATCCATGCGCTCATAGTATCCCTTACTTTAATGTGAAAAAGGTTGAAACATGTACCCCGATTTCATTAAAACCTTACTACAAATGCTCCCCACCACTCATTATGAAATTTGCTCGAAATCTATGCGCTTTTTGGATGGACTTCTTGCAATTGAGATACAAATGCAGTGCGCATGCCTCACGGGTTTAGTCCTATTTGCAAGAAATCCATCCGAAAAGCGGATGGATTTCGAGTAAATTTTACATATAGAGGTGGAGAGCATTTCTTTCATGAGTTTTAAATGTTTATAGTATACTGATGGAACTGAATTAGTATATACCTTTTCTATTACCTCAACAAGTAAATTCATGTAATGAATACACGTTTTCATGAAAGAATTTCTTGTTTCAAATACAAATTTTTACATCACATAATGTCTAGCGAAAAGAGCAGCAGTGCTTCATGTAAATTTAGCACAATGTTTTTTTCCGTGTGGAGTAGGGGATGATTCCTACATACAAGATACTTTATTACGAAAGTTATATTAATTAGTAATAATTATTTTATTTATAACTAATAATTATTTATTATTAAAATCACAAACGAGGAAAGAAATGAAAACAGAAATTTAAATAAATTGACGTATAGAATGATTACTTTTATTAAGAAAGTATACACTTGAAAAATGAGTTTATTTATAGTGAATAATTAAGTAGCTGTATGCTACAAAGGGATACGCGCGAAGTTAAATAAATGGCGCACTGGCACATTTTTTCAAATTTTAATAAAAATACTCAGACATTGTCGACTAGGCCCAATAATCGACATTTAAATGTTAAAATTTATATTTACAAATTTGTTTATTTATTTTAGGTACAAATTTAAATAAATCGCAATATAAACTCTGTATAGTTTATGACTCCAGAATGTTAAAACATTTTGATAATTCTGACGATTGTCATCCTGAAAAACCTAGCAGAATTGCAAATATTTATGCCAGTCTTCAAGAATATGGTGTGTTGAAACGATGTCTAATTCTTCAAGTAAGTTATTTTGTTTCTTTAGTATGCTTTAAAAATAATACCATTAAATTTTAAAAGGCAAGATAGAAATTAGTAGAATGCATTTCTTCTGTGTAAAAATTTGCTCGAAACTTAAAATATTTATCTTTTTATTTAAAATGTTTTAAAAGCTGTGGAATTTTAATACACGATGGTAAAGTTAAATACTTCATTTATTTCAATAAATACAACAGTCAGAGACCAATTACAGGATTACAAAAAGAAAAAAACGTATTTATTACAATGGCGATAAGTATAGTTTGTAATTTCTTATATTTAAATAAAAAAGCAATTATAATTTTAATCATATTATCATACTTTATTTATTTTATTTATTGAGGAATACGATAAATTCAAGGTAGTGTAGATTGGAGAAACGGAACGCCTAACTCTAGATGGAACCAGAAATGGAATTTAAGCGAGAAAATATACAGGGCTATTTGATTTTTTTTCAACATGTCTAGTTTTAAAATACCTAAATAAATATCCTTAAATAATTTCATATTTGCGTTAAGTTAAATCTCTACACTCAAATTTTCTAATTTTCAGTGTAAAGTTTTCTATACTTTAAGAGCATGAAATTATTAATTTTCTTTATAAGCATACGAAGGTGACCAAAATACTCATGTTTTTTAAATTGAAATATTCCAGTTTAAACTATTCACCGCTTAATAAACACGTGGACAGGGTTGCCAGATTGGGCGATATCGCAAATTGAGCGATTTAAAGCTCCAAAATGCGACTTTCTATTAGATAATTGCGACAAGTCGCAACTTGGTCGAATTGTAAAAAAAATTTGGGATTTTTGGGCGACTTGTCGAACTATATCTATAAATATTGGTAAAATCAATCAATAAATGTTTTTGACGAACTGGAAGTTGAATTTTATTTTTATGTGAAGGATGTAATTAGTGTTAGTTTCTCAAAATTTATTTTAGTGTTAGTTTCTCAAAATTTATTGTTTAAAATAAAAATTATTATTTTTTTTCACATTACACAAAATACGTGAAGTACCCATCCCTAGCTGGCAGCAGTTTGTTAAATGCAAATATTTAATTTATAAGTTCTATCTTGTTTAGTTTGTGACAACCCAGTCGCGAGAGATTTGTTTAGTCAATAATTAAAGTAGGGAAAGGGTTCGACTCTAGCGAGGGAGTACACTTACCCGAGCAAAACTTGCTATTCTCAATTGTAAAAGAAATCAGCGACTGCAGCATTCACTAGTGACGAGAGAAAGATAATGATAACACGAAAGAACTTACCGGCGATGGACAGCGTTACTCGATCCTAGTATCAGCAGAACAGCGTCGGTGTTGTTACTAAAAATAATCTCTTCGCACAATAACTTTGTAAAATAATTATAATCACGTTGAAGGCAGTAAAAATAGTAATTCGCACAAATTATATACAAAAAATGTTTATTATTATTATTTTCTAACAAATTAGTATTAACAAAAATATTAATACGCAACGCGTGACAAGTAGCTGTTCGTAGCCGTGCGTAGCTCGCATCTGATTAGATTTGAGGACGCGTGATCTGACGATCGGATCGCGAGTAGTGCGCCACCTAGCGGTTAGCGGGATATTCGAATCCTTATAACAGCGATCGTTGTACGAGGAAAAGAGTCTAGGATGGAGAGAGACATATTTAAAAATAAAAATATTTGGTTGTTTCAAGTTAAGGGGTTACACCAATTTGAAATCTTTAAAAATTTGGAATAAAAAATTTTTGCATAAAGTACACCATAGAGGCATAGAAATGATATGCTATATGGACCCGGCGTTGCTGATTACAGGTAATTTTTAAATTAATCATTGATAATCACGACCAAGCTGTTAATTAAACTTGAAACGCGTTTTTCTCAAAACTACATTTAAAAAATCTCTGGGTACTCTAGCTGACTTTTGTTTATGATTTAATTATCTAGAGGAACACGTATGGATTCTTCGAAATATTAATATTTAAATTTTCTATACAACTTTAAAAAACGAAGTTTTGGTAAAAATAAGTACTTTTTCCTTAAAATCGATGCCATTTTGCGAAAAATGCATTTTTTTAAAAACGGCTACGTATTCCTCTAAATTTTGAGTTGCAGAAACTAATGCTTTTTTAATCTAGCTCAATTCTGGACCGAGTTATGGTGCCTACCGCACGGCAATAAATTGAATCAGTCTCATTTATACACAAAATTTTTTTTATATTGTGTGTTTTAAACAGATCTTGAAGAAAGTATTTTTTTCTCATTAAAGATATTTTTCATATGTCTTTAATACATATCATAAAAATATTTTTTGGTGTATATTACAGAAGTAAAAATTTTTGTCAGGTAAGTTGTTTTTTATTACATATTAAAATTTTGTACTGGTGTATTTTACAAACATAAAATTTTTAATTGTTGGAACATTTTGTACTGGTGTATTTTACAAACTTTAAACTATTTCAATTCTTGGAACATTTTGTACTGGTGTATTTTACAAACACAAAATTTTTAATTGTTGGAACATTTTGTACTGGTGTATTTTACAAACTTTAAATTATTTCAATTCTTGGAACATTTTGTACTGGTGTATTTTACAAACATAAAATTTTTAATTGTTGGAACACTTTGTACTGGTGTATTTTACAAACTTTGAAGTTTTTCAATTCTTGGAACATTTTGTACTGGTGTGTTTTACGAACATCAAATTTTGTAATTGTTTGAATATTTACTACTGGTGTATTTTACAAATATGAAAATTTTCGCACTTGTTTATATTACAGACATGCAATTTTTTTTAAATAAAAAAATCATTCAACAATAGTATATTAAGCAACAAAGTAACAACCCAGTAAAAAAACTAATTAAAATGAATTGAAATGAATTGACTTTTGGTTGAATTCTTTTGAATCCTACTTACTAATTTGTCACTATCACAGAAAATTAAAAGGTATTAAAATAAGCTGCAACGCTTATTATTTTAATCCAATTTTGCTTATTTTAATACCAAAATGGATTAAAATAAGCAAAATTGGATTAAAATAATAAGCTTTGCAGCTTATTTTAATGCCTTTTAATTTTTTGTGATGAATTGAAATGAATAGAAATGAATTCCCAATAGGAAAAATAGCATTGGCGTATTAATGGCCCAATGATGGGAGCCAGGGATGCCAATATAATTTTAATAATGGCACCCAATAGTGGACCATTATTGGTAAAGTCAATTTCTCGTTTTTTCTAAGTTCTTTGATATTCTAGAAATTGTTAATTAATTTCGAAAAATATATTTTCAGAAAATAAGCAGATTTCTGTAGTTAGGGCAGTTGAACTGTCGATACATGAACCCTCACAACACAAGGATATTCAGGATATCCCTGGGACGTCCTGGGGATATCCATTTGCTTTTGGCGATTCGGATATCCCTAAGATATCCTCTGGATATCCATGGACATCTCTAAGATATCCCAGGGATATCCAAACCGCCGAAAACAAATCGATATCCCCAGGACGTCCCAAGGATATCCTGAATATCCTTTTGTTGTGTGGGAAATTTAAATGCTTTAATAAAAAACTTGATTCGGAAAGAGCTGACAAAGTAACTGTCAATTTTACTAAAAATTGAAAGATCTTCACAAACATGATACCTTAAAAGATTTGAGACTAACTTAACACGAATTTTAAGTCAAATTTAAAATTCGACAGTTGACGATTGTAAAAGTAATTGTTAATTTTACTAAAAGTTGGAAAGTTTCCACAAAAATGACAGCAATTAGGTTTTCAGACTAGCTGAACATGAATTTTATATCAAACTTAAACTGTGACATGTGACAGCTGTCAAAGTAACTGTCTCTTTTTCTAAAAATATGAAAATGTTTATAAAAATTTCAACTATTAGATTTTGAGACTCAGTGATCACGAATTTGATGTGAACTTCAAACTTTGACAGTTGACACCTGTCACAGTAACTGTCATTTTTCACTTTTAAAATCAGTGATGTATGCGAAGTCAAGCAATAAAGAAAATATGGAAATTAATCACTTCGCCGCGGTGAAGTCTGCCCTGCCGTGCTAAGGAAAAAAGTCTCTAACTGACATTTTTATGAAAATTGTGTTTTTTATACCAATCGATTCGTCTGAATTTTCTGCGTCTAGTACTGCTGAAAAAAATATAAAAATCATATAATGGATTTTTAAATTAAATTGTAAAACATTACAAGAGGTTAAAATATTAAAATGAAGAAGCCTTAACTGTCAAAAAATTTGTATGTTCAATTAAAAATGCCAAGAAATAGATATAGAATACAAATGAAAAATCGCTGGGTTAGTGGGAAAAAAGGACACGTCCGTTTGATTTAACCAAGACGTGTCCTTTTTTTCCACTAACCCAGCGAAATGTATTAAAAGCAGTTAATTCTTTTTCATTATGTAAAATCATCCGGGAGCGCGGTTTGTTACAAAATAAAAAAGCATCGTGCTATTAGGACTTTCTTATTTTGTAAAATATTCAAGTGGAGTTTTTATTTGCAAGAAGAAAAGCATTAATAGTGTAAATATATTTCTTTAAAACGTAGATATTTTTCGCAATTCATGTTTAAAAAAAATCTGCGCATTAAAAATAACCTGAAAGAGGCACCATTTTTTCAATTTTTCTCTTATCTGAAAAAGTAGTTCTTTCTTTTTAGTGAAACAATAACTCGAAATGGTTTTCTTATTTCATTAAACGATCAGCAACATTTTTAAATAATTTTTTGCTTCTCATAAAATCTTGAAATTGGCGCTTGACTCCTTTTGTCATGCATATTGTATATGTGATTGTCAAGAAGATATAGACTTTTTCTTTTTGCAGTACATATAAGCACTCGAATAATGTTACAAAACAAAAAAGCATTAAGAACTCTTAACGACTTTTTATCTTGTATTTGTTTTAAAAAAAGCATTATCTTTAATTTTCTAATTGCTAACATTTGTAATTCCTGTTTTTTATTGCATAATTAAAAAGAGCGGGTTCGATTTAGTCAGAAAATGTATTTATTTCATACACTATGCTTTTGTACATAAGGAAAATTTTTATTGACAGTTTTTGTCG